AGTTACTGTAACGCTGCATATGTGGTTGTGTTTAATCTGGTCGCCAGCGTAAGAAGAGATCACAGAAACTCTTCGAAGTGGTTGGTTGAGGTCCGTGGAGAGGGTAAGATCATCTTGATGGGCGAGATGCGGCGACTACTTATTGGCGAGTCACATTCGCCACTTCGAAGTGTTGGTAAACGGACATTTGTGAGTTTTTATAGGAAACGCGCCACGTTCTGAAGCACTATCGCCGAACCATTCATCAGGACGAGGCAGACTATAACAAGCCAGCAGGCATCACGGGGAGGTTGTTAAGCGAGCCAGCGGAGTATATATATATATATATATATATATATATATATATATATATATATATATATATATATATATATATATATATATATATATATATATATATATATATATATATATATATATATATATATGCACCACCCACAGTTCCACCCACACACCCCATATCCGGTGTAAACCCGAAGGAATAAGACCGGGAGGCATGTGAATGGGAGCCGTGTTTCATCAACGGAGCCGGCGCACACTCTTTCAACAAACAGAACGGAAGCATTCCGGCTTCCTTGGGAAATCATACACACCAGACCTACACAAGGCCGTGGCTGCGCCGTAGCCCGTTCCACACAGATTGCACAGAACCACTCTCTGCGCCTAATACCGTCACAAGGACGGTGCACCCCATCACCTCCAGCAACGACCCACTGTCTCCTGGAGCCAGCAATCGAAATGGTGGGTATTAAACAGGTAGGTACCTTATCTACATCACATCGGGCTCAGCCACACCGGGGAGCTCAATCAACATCTACTTCGGAAATGAAGATTACTCAACACGCAAACAAAGGTACAACATACGCTACCTTATTCGCCTGGATTACTAAATCGAATGAAGCGTACGCATCGTGCTTCTATTCCGCGTGCAATAGTGCCTTCTCCTCCACCTGGGCAACCGCCCTCTTGATCAGTCCACGGAATTCGCAACGATCAACTTTGGCTTGGATTCGCAACACCTGAAATCAACATGAGTCTGTCATAAACTCATCTTCTTCATATTCTGGTAATGTTATTTTCGGTTTGCTTGAGCGCCGCTTCTCTACACTAAGTTGGCTGTACAAAAGCGCTATGAGTATCCTCCTCGAATTCATTCGGTATACATATATACATGGATTGGCGTCATCTGTGTCCAATGGCAGTTCAAATACAACGTGTGCACAAGCGGTTGTCCAAACCTAAGTATGAACTGCCACACACTGAATAGAGACACATTAAACCTCACGAACAATAGTACTACAAACGTGTATGGGTTTCGTTTGAATGTCAGGTTAACAGCCACTTGCGTAGGCATGACAATAAGTACCCAAAACGCATACTTGGTGTTTTCTTTCACATGCAGATGTGAGCATAACTGACAGCTTTAAGTCTTGGGCATCCATATTTGAAGGAACCCGATATAGGAATAGTGAAGCAACTGGCATCAGTACGGTTACTAGGTAGAATGATACATAAACAAGTGGTCCAGTGAAATAGTGTGCACTTAGGTGTTGCCGTCAATATGTACAGCCTGGTTTGCGTAGCTGATTTGGGCGGGGGGATCGCACAGCATGCGAATGCAATGGAGTCTTCACTTCTGGCTCTCTGTGTCTCCGACCGGTTCGGTCATCTGCTGCCCGAGGTATGTGCACCTACTTAAAGAAGGTTGATGCGCAACCTTTGGTATTGACAGGTGACATCAATTAAGTCCTGCTGTCCACTGTCAAACATGCGACTTTGCAAGCAGTGTTCGCACTGTTTTGCAAATATTCATGTAATCAACCGTTTGTACATATCTATGTGTACTCTGCTGTGGCCATAAGCTAAGTGATAACAATCTGTATCGCACTTTTCAAGTGCAGCCATTCGGTGCTCATAAAACGATTGTTGCTGTGCGCCGGTTACTTTCCGATGTAATATACCAAGACACTGATGTACCAATGCCGTTGGCATTACATTTTTCTTAGTCTGTGCAGAAGATTGGCCATGTGCAATGCAACTTCTGGTAGGCGTCTCTGCGCTTCCGTCTTCAATCCGCTTAGTACTTGCGTTTTCATAAGCCCCGGTAAATTCAGTATGGCTGATGAATAACTGGAAATATAACTATGCTCACTCTCATTCCTGACCTGCTGAGTGGAACGTGAACTGGCGACCTCGTAATAATCACTGATCGGTTAATTATCGTGATTGTTCACTTGCCACAGAATTTCCAGGGCAATTTCTCTTCGGATGCATGGTCCAACTTGGTCACACGAGGGAGATTCGTTGAGCATTTTGTCTCAATTGTCAAACTTTACACTTTATGCGTACTGTAAGCGGCCAAGCGCTGGTAAACTTTTGATTCAAGCGTATCCGTCGAACTGGAAACATAGTCAGTTGCCACCCTAGCATTGATTCGTATTAACAACACAATTCCCTCGGAAACTCCGCGCACACGTCCAAAATATTGCAACACATTTCCAACAGAATCCTTCTTAACAAAGATTTTACGCTGAGTATACCATGATGCAGAACAAAGCTGTGGTCAAACTTGTTTCTTATCAGATATGCTGCCCTGTCGAATTAGCTTACAATCACAAGTGAGGTAGTGTTAGGTTGCGCAACCACTACGCAATAAGCTCAGAAACTCCCGCAAGCTGCACGTGATTATGACAGTGTTGTCATGCAGACGACCGGCTATCGGTCTACTTATTAAGGGTCCAGATCACATGTAATGAGTAAACTAGGGGAAATTCACGGAATTTATGCAGTCCTCATTGTCTACAATATCCGCGAAGCCCAGCTATGTCATACATTCTAAAGTTCAACACAAACACGCGTCATTTACTTTATCAGAAATACAGTCATAGACAAGCACACAACTGCATGTTGCTCACGCAACAGCACAGTCATGTCTGTACAAACATGCTATTTGTCAACAACGAACGCAGCTTCTCTCTTGCTCCGAAATACACCTATTATTATTATTGTTATTATTATTATTAGTTTGGGGTTATTACTGCAGTTATCCAAATCCACGCACACACACACACACAAGCGTTTGTGGCTTTTAACTGTGTATCCAGAGGAGGGCTAACTGGAGGGCTTATGTGCTGCTGACATTTAAAATGAGCAACACTCACATAGAAGTTGAAGACAAATCGTGGTCACTCACAGTACGAGTGTCACTCAGATTACATATATATATATATATATATATATATATATATATATATATATATATCTATATATATATGTATATATGAAAAGGGGGAAGTATTGGAGTTGAATGGCATAAGTCGCAATTCATTAAGTGCAGTCACAGTCAAACAGCCATCACACGCTCATACTTACGTCTGACAGCATGAAGGAATGAAAGAATGAAAGCGAAAGCCACCTAGGAGCATCACTCCCAAGAAATAGCTGTTCATACATTTACCATTTAAGGGCGATACCGCATCTGATTTCTTATCTCGACATCTGAAAGATACTGTTGGGAGAACTTATTTCGCAGCCCGCTTGAGCATTGTTTACCACCACAAGCCATTGCTTGCAAAACCGTTGAAAGATAGTCCGCCATCGCTGACCCGTTCCATGCTCGTTTATCAGTACTGGTGCTCCTGTGGTGCACGACACGTGTGTCGCACAACGGGACGTCTATCCCAGAGGCTTCGCGAGCACATCCCGGCGTGGTTCTACAAAAGCGAAATGAGGTCCTCAGACAGCTCAATCATGTCGCCCCTCCTCAAAAGTGGCCATACTGCATCTGAGAATGACTTTAAAGTCATCTACTCACTACCTGAACGCTTCTCGCAAGGCTTCCGAAAGCAGATCTTGTCTATTACCCAGGCTATTTACATGAACCATCTGAAGCCGGAATTATGTGTGCATAAGCGATTCATACGGCCGATACTACTACCGATTGGCATGGTTACTTAATTCCCTTCGTGACTTTACCTATTTACTTTAGGCTGCTGAAGGTAGTGTATTAAGTTTCCTTTGGTGCAGTTTGCTTGCCATCTGTAGCCGCTTTTAGTCATCGATCTTGACCGTTCAAACACCTTAGGAATCAATCCCAGCCCGATTTAACGCTTACCCCACACAATCAGCGTTATGTAAACGTTTGGGTCTGACGAGAGTCTAGCGTAAAGAATTCTTAACCGCGAACTGATTTCTGTTCCTGATACTTTAAGTGGCAGCTTCAGTTTGGTGAGTTCGTCTGTTGGTGGGGGGTTACCTCGTCCTCTGCCTGGAAGTAAGCTTCAACTCATTGGACAGTGAGCGGCAATCTATGGCATATAGTGCCGTAATCATGACGGTCACTACCGCCCCCCTTAACTTAATATTCTCAACCACTTGCTGGGAAGTCGTGTTGCACGTTGGAGCCCCACAGGGTCCAGATGGAATGCGCGATGCTGACGATACCCGGAAGGATGAACCAGCCTTACAGTGCTTTTCCGGGCGCCTGATGTCTGTGTGACTGATTTTATATGTGATGACTATTAAAATGACAATATCTTTGCTGAGGATGAGTAAAACGAATTGATTGCCGGCCTGGGTAAATCTTATGCGCTTTCAAACCAAAATTTGCAGAGGCACCTTCTTTCTGAATGATATTCACGCTAATGGTCATGGTAATTGGCACGGGTGTATCAACTGCACCAGTTTTGCAAATCATTACTATCATGACTTAACTATTTGAAGTAGGACACCACTAACACGTACTCTATGCTCGACACTCATTCGGTGGTCTCCCTTTGAAACAATCAGTTGAACTTTTCCGTAGTTGTGGAGGTGAATACAACTGAAACACACGGTTTTGTCTCGTGGCATGATACTGTGTTCACAGTGACCACAAAGCTCAGTGCTTGCAAAGGTGTTCCATTCAAAATTTTTCTGTACTGATTGCCATCAGTAATGCACAGTATTATGCTACTTGCCGCTCACAATGGAGGTCTTCCATATCTTTTTTTCCTCAACAGAGGTCGAGTTGGAAGAGATCGAGAATCACATTGTTCGTCACAAACCTGTCGGCATCAATACATTGTTACGAAAGACGCGATTCACACGTAAAGAGCTCCAGATAATGTACCAAGGTTTTAAACAGGTCAGTAACATTTTCCTTGTACATGGGCTGTTGTATGCGGTAATCGGTGTCAATAATTCATTGAACTGGAGTTCAGAGGTTGGTTGTTAACAATAGGTACAACGTGTAATTAATATAAATGAGCAATTATCGAGTAATTGTTTGCCCAATCGATTCTAAATGAGCGCTGATGCATTTGCCGAAATCCTGTCCGATGAGTGCTACTAACAGAGACATATAAAGCGGAAAAAGTGTCCAAGCAAGCATTGTATTTTAGCCACAATAAGGTTTAACTACTGCGTTTACTACTGAACATTCTACGGACTCTCAGTAAGATGCAGACAAGAAGATATCAACTACACTTGTTGTTACCACGGTGCATCTGGTACATCCATCGAAGTTGACTTGGATGCCACGAACTGAGGTGAGCACACTTGTTGTCTAGTTGTCCAGCCATTAATGGATGTTACGAACATGAGTATTCCTCAATTAGTATCGAGTTCTGATTAGGAGTTTACCAAGGCCCCCGTTCAGAATGTATTCAGTGCAATGGTGAAAGTAAAGCTACCGTGCGTTGGTTTAACATCGGTCGCTGTCTAATAACGAGATGTGGTAAAGCAGATTTTCACTGGAGCATGTGATAACTTATCCACGGATTTGGATACATTTTGGACGCAGATCACTCCCTGTAGCCCGCCGTGCGATCGAGTGTGCGCTTTTCTCGACTAACGGTTTAGAAACAGTCAACAATGGGACTGAAACCCGGGATAAAAATATTTTCTGCAGACGATTTCTTCTGTACATCATCAACTATCCCTACATGAAGCAGAAGGTAAAACGCAATATTCATGCACTTGTTCTTATTATCAAGATTTTGCCGAAAGTGAATCGATGCCCAACTCGAGGATAAGTCTCGCGGCAATCTCTGCGTTCCTCAACCAGACTCCCAGTTTGGCCGATTCAGCTTAAAGCATTCAATCAAGCGTGAAAGCTGTCACGGAAAGCCGTGATGAAAGAGGGCAACGCCCAACATCTGTGTGCCTCAGATGGGTTCCCACTACTGGACAAAATGACTAGGGGTTGCCTTAGAATTAATCGTGGCCCAAAATGCAATTATGTATCGCAGTCCATTGATATAATGAGTGCTTCAGCAAATGCTTCAGCAAATGAACCCACTCAAAATTTTCGGGTGGGCAAACACCCAGCTTTTGTGTATGAATGTAAGTGGAATAGTAACAAGAGTTTTATCAATTGATACTTATCGCGCAAGTCGTCAAGTCAAAAAGTGTTTTCTGTAACAAAGCGAGTGAGTATGCCACCGTAAAAAACACAAGTTCAGCGACGCAGCAGGACCTGAATGCACTTCGAAGAAATGCACATTACTAAATGCAAAAACAATACCATCATGGTGTTGCGGATCGCAGTCCTTCAGGGACAAGCGTTAATTCGGCAAAGACAGCTCAGCGAAAATTACGGCAAGTTTAGCAAGCCAAACTAATTGATATAAATTGCAGATTCAAGTCCATAACTAACGACTCTTCTGAGTTCTTGAGGCTCTTCTTTCGCTTCAGTTAAACAAATGATGAATCACTCATGCGAATATCAACCAATCCGAGTCCAGTAATCGAATCCGTCACGTCCGCCTCCCATTGGCTTTGTGGCGCGCTCGGTTGGTCCATCTGCTCACTTTGATCTGATACTACCATCACACAACATAATCCGGTTTGTTGATTCACGGATGAAGTTATGATAGGCCCGTAGGTCGCTTTTGAATTCAGGATTGCTACATCACCGTTAGAAATGAATTGGTATCTAAACCGAGCGTTTTCCTTCCTTATGAACAATCAAAGCAATTTACATCAAATGTGCTTCACGTATTGCGATAGATAGGGTGACATCCGGCAAGATGCACTATTCAATGTAAAAATGGAAGTGTGGTTTAAAATCACTAAAAAACCAAGGCTCAAAAATTTCCCTGGGATGGTCTGTGTGAAATGCTTAGGGTACAAAATGAAATATACTTACAGCAAGGCGAACCGTGCGCCTGTAGACCCACCACTAAACTCGGGGTGGGCATCCGGTTTCGGATTTACCTGTCACTGTGGCCAGCCACAGGACGCCTGCGCATACAGAGGACCCACGTGTAGGTTACATTGCGCCACCCACAGCTCCATCCACACATCCCATATCCGGTGTAAACCCGAAGGAATGAGATCTGGAGGCATGTGGATGGGAGGCACCTTTCATCAACGGAGTCGGCTCACACTGCTTTAACAGGCAGAGTGGAAGCATCCTGTAATTGGGGAATCATACGTGGCCGACGTACACAAGGCGGTGGCTGGGCCCTTGTCCGCTTCATACGGGATGCATGAAACCACTCTTTGAGCCTAGCCCCGTAAGGATGACGATGCAGCCTGTCCTCTTCAGTAACGATTCACAGTTTCCTGGAGCCAGTATAGACGTGGTGGTGGGTACTAGACGGATAGGCCCCTTGTCAACATTTACATCAAGCGCAGCCAGGCATCGCATAACGCACTCGAGATTTAACCTTTCAAACGCACTTCCGACAGACAGACAGACAGACAGTCAGTCGAGTTTGGCGCGACTGATACGACAAAGCAAACCATATGCATCATCAACTTAAGGCTGGGCAACGGCACAATAGCAGTGCGGATCCTGTATAATCACATACACTCACATGCATTCATCCACAGTTGTGTATGAACTACCATAAAATGCATGGAAGAACGTGAACCTATATGACAAACATAATACAGTAACAGCCATATCAGTCAAGTCATTGGAAATCGCAAGCATAAGTAAGTACCTACGAAGAGACGATATAGTGCAATAATGGAACGGTACTTGAGCTCGGTCTGGCTCCCCAATCGGTGTTCTTTAGAGTCCATGCAACTTGGTATTCAATGATTTGATCCCTCTGTCGTACCACAGTCTCTGAGTGGAAGCGTTGTAGTATTTCTGCACGACTGTCGACCATCGCATGGCTTCGTGTCACAGAATGCAGCTCCGGGATAACACTGCGCTGGACTAACAGGGCTTCACAACGGGGCACGAGAATGAGACCGCCGTAGAACGTGTGCGAAATGGACAATAAATGTGCGGCAGAAAGATAGAACGGAACAAAGCAAAGTAAATTAAACACATGTACATCCGTTTGCCCCGATTTTGTTCGCCTGGTTATCCAGTACAATATTGGTTTGCGTCTTGTCGGCACTCGATGAGCGGGATTCGTGTCACGTTATGTGAACGGTGTAATGCATCGTTGACTCATTTTCTATGGATGAGCAATGTTAAGGCAGTAGTGACAAATCCGGAGGAGGGTTCCATAGCCGGCTAATGTTGTGAGAGAAAAAATTCCGGCTGGATTACGGGTGGCTGTATTATTGGCCAGGAACAGCTGGTGGCACCGCAACTTGTGTTACTACAAAATTTCAGATGATGACGGCAAAGGTGACTAGGTTCTTCAAAATCTGATACCTCAGCATCAGGCCACCTCGTAGACGGTAACAACTTCCACGGTACATTTCTATGGCTTTCAGTCGCAATTGGTATGGCAGACGAAGTAAGCTAGTGACGTTTTTAGTTGTCCTATACTGTGGGGTATCCAGTGCAGCCAGATCGCGTTTTAACCAGGGCGTCCAGGCTTGAATCGCGTATTCCACATAAATTTTCAGGTGCATTGAACATTTGCGGGAAGATGAAGAGATCGAACCACCCGAAAGCCCGCCACAAAAGACCAAATTGTTGGTTAACTCTTCTGGATCACATGCATTACTCTGGACAACCGAGGTCATTTGGAATCGCCAAACCAAGGTCGGGATTCTGTGAGGCGGACTTCAAGATGTGGTCACCCAGCCTATACGTGGGTTGGAACGCAACGACGTATGCCTTCTCTCTGTGGTTTACCGACCACCGAAATCCACTCCGGAAAGGGACAACAGACTTATCTCCGCTTTTCCCTCCGTGCTTAATCAGAAGTACAGCCACATCCTCGTTGCAGGAGATTTCAACACCCATGACTTGGAAAATCCAGCATCCGAGACAGAAGTGTTCAAGGCATAGTTGCAAGAGCTACTCTCTAGCACCTTCTTGTATAACCACGTCACCGTTCCAACCAGGTTCAGAACAGGAAACAACCCATCGATATTAGATCTAGTGCTCACTACCGAAGAGCTCATGGTCGATGGACTAAAGGTGTGCAGTCCTTTGGGCCGTAGCGATCACGTGACTTTGCAGTTCGATTACATCTGCTACGCCGAATATCCAGCTGCGGAGCTCGAAACGAGGCAATCTGTTACCCATTACCACGTTCTGTCTGCTCTAGTTGAGAATACCAGTTGGACGTTTCTAGCTAACTGCACCCCAGAACTAGCCTGGGAGACATTTGCGAACACCATCACGTCACTAGTCATAGAAGTCTCAACACCAAAACTTTCCCAACATCCCCGCACAGCGAAATCATTCTTGCGAAGCCGGACGCGAAAATGCATGACTCTAAGGGATCGGGCATGGCGCATGTATAGAAGCAACCCCAGCGCAGAAAACTGGACGGGATACGTTTCGCATCGCAACTACTGTGTGCTTTTGGTTCGCGAAGACAAGAGAACACATCAGCAGGAGCTAGCCAAACGATTCTGTTCGAACAAAAAGCTTCTTTACAAACATGTGAATGGACTTCGCAAGGTGCAACGGGGAATCCCACCACTTAATACGACCAATGGGTATACACATACTGCGAAGGAGGCGGCCAATGCATTACGCGCCCAGTACTCCCCAATCTTCCAAGGTGTACAAGCCTCGACGTATATTCCGCCACTAGTTACCCCACCGTCCGTTTTATCCAACGTCACGTTCACTGCAGAAATGGTGCTGCAAAAGCTGCTATCCTTGCGTCCACACAGCTCTCCCGGGGCCGATAACATTCACCCGAAAACATTACAGGTAGCTGCCATCCACTTGGCCGAACCACTAGCTGCATTTTTTCAGCGCTGTTTCGATGA